ATTGCATAGTTAACAACCCAAAGAATCTTGAAAAATTAAAGGCATAATTCTCTTATTTCTTTGTAAGTAGTTATAAATATTGTCAAAGGATGGCGCTTTCTATGTTGAACAATTATTCATTTTCAAACTTATTTATAAGTTTTTAGATCAAAGCTACACGATATGGTATCTGTGCTCTGTCAACCACGGGGCATCTAACCCCGCATTTTAACGCTGTAAGTTTGTAAACTTGCCCGCTGAAGGACATCTCACTCAAATAGTCAGTCACTTAATGGTATTACGTCATAAAACAACTACAAATTACAATATAAATAGGCATTCCATGCGATATATATATTTTTTACCACCAGTGAAATGTTTAATAAATTAAGTTATATTCTGCCTTAGTATAAGACAGATTAATCAATCCACACTCGTTAGTAACAGTCAAAAGTAATAAGAAATGAAACACTTACTGGTTTTTCATGTGCTTCTAGAATTTCTTCTTTCGTGAACAAACTCAAACACTGTTGTAATGAAACTTTGGAACTTCCCTACGGTAAAAACAAAAACAAGTGTTAATGACACTTAAGTTACAAGCTTGTAGTTTATTTCTTTTGTCCTTAAATTTCCAAAAGTCGATATTAATTGAATGTTAAAAGAACAATATTTCTACAAAAAATATAAGCCGACAAACAATGTGAATGATAACTATACTTCTCAAAGAACATTATTATATTTTTAACACTACATTCTATTCGGTGTTTTTTTTTCTTTTCAAGAAGAGTAGTGTATAATAGCATTTCAACCACACTGTGTTTGTCATGTCTATTGCCGACGACGCGTTTCGCTCAATCCAGAGCTCATCATACTGGCTGGAATACAACAAACACAATAGAGAACGACAGCTTTTATGCTGCGAATGTTTTTTTCTAAGCCGGCGAAGCATGAGTATATACTTATCGTACGACATTAGTACTATGTCTATTATATTTTTAAACACTGCATTCTTTACCAATTCCGTAGGGATTTTAAGAATTATAAGAGTGTATAACAATAGTATTTCAATAACACTATGCTCGCCATATCCATTGTCGACGACGCGTTTCGCTAAATACAGAGCTAATCATACCGGTTGGGACTAAAGAGTAAATATAGAACGCAGTGTTAAAATATATAATAGGTCAAATAGTAATGTCGCATGATAAATATGATTAACCGTAATGAACAATTTGGATGGTTTTGATTTATGGTCCTTCACTCATACCCATTAACCCAAAATACTTCACGTGTCCTGAATTCACAAACTTAGAAGTGGTCAGAAGACTATTTATATATGTTATTTATTAAAAAAGCGATGTAAGTAAAAAGAAAACTTCGAGGCTGTGGTACCATGTTAGAATTCAACGTTTTATTAACCCACAAGTTTCTCAGCTCTTTTAAAGCTTGTGGTATGGGGAGTTAGGTGTACGTACAGTGAAGAATACGTTGGGGAGACAGAAAGGCCATTAAAAGTTAGAAGTCAAGAACAACCCTCTTGAACACCAAACCATCTTCAGCCATCATGGAACACAGAATGTTGTATACCAAAAATAAAGACTGTAAAAGTGCCACTGTTCTTGAAATAAAGTAGATTCGGCATGGCTAGGTGGTTAGGTTGCTTGACTCGCAATCTGTGAGTCGCGGGTTTGATTCCCCGTCTCACCAAACACTCTCGCCCTTTCAGCCGTGGCGGCGTTATATGCTATGGTCAATCCCACTGTTCGTTGGTAAAAGAGTAGCCCAAGAGTTAGCGGTGGGTGGTGATCACTAGCTGCCGTCCCTCTAGTCTTTCACTGCTAAATTAGGGACGGCTAGCGCAGATAGCCCTTCATATCACGCCTAATCGTAACAGGAGAGGAATAAAGATGCCTCTCAAATCAAAATGGAATCAATATAGACATGAGACGAGTCACAATCAAATCCTTACGGAACTCCTTAATCCTACCAACAAACAATCTTACTATAATCCAGTTTAAAGAATACAGTTTAATGGACTATGGCGTAATAGACATATTATATTACAGGACACCACGTTAGTTCTTTGAAACCTTATCGTTGTTTTGTATTACTTCTTATAGTGTTAAAATTGTATATGTATTCACCATCATCATTAAAGTTTTACAGCTGTAAATGTATATATTCGCACGTCTAAACAATATTATTGATTTACGCCTTGGCAACAACACCTGTATTATCTCGTGATTTATTTATATTTTTTGAACTTTTTTTCAGTTAGTGTGGAAATTCCATCAAACCAAGAACTCTTTAAATAACTGGTAGCTTGTGGGTTCATAAAACCTAGTGTTTTAATGTAGTACAGGGTGATCCAGAATTATCATTCCTATTTTAAAATTTAATAATTAAACAAGTAAGGTAATACAACCATGCAGTTTTCAACAACTTGTAGCCTACCTCGAACAGTTTTTATGGTTGTTGTTTTTGCACGATTGCTATTTTACGGGGTAACACTACTTACTCACTGGAGTGAAAAAAGAAACAACAACCATAAAAACTGTTCACGTCATTTGTTAGTGACTGTGGTGCAACGTAATTACAGGCGCTAGTACAGGAAAAAAATATAGGGGGTATATTAAGGATATCGTGTATCGCACATCTGTAGCAAACATCACGGAACTAAAAACCATGATAACGGACGCTATTGCCACAAAAACTGTGGACATGTTGCAGCGAACGTGGACTGAAATCGAATATCGGTTGGACGTGCTGAGACCCACTAATGGTTCACACGTAGAAGTCTACTGACATGTTAATAAAAACTGTTTGAGCTGGGCTACAATATGTTGAAAACTCCATGACTGTATTTCTTTAGGCAGTTAATTATTAGATTTTAAAATTGAGAAGATAATTTTTGGTCACCCTGTAAGTTTCGTTTTACGTTAAGACATCCACGTTTCAATGACATTAGTACCTGGCATGGCCAGGTGGATAAGGCGCTCGAC